GGGTCATTTTCAGTGAATCCGTGTTTACGGAGATTTTTTTCGAAATGACATCGTATTGGGTGAGGCCGCGTATTCGTGAGGACAGGCCCTAAATTGCCTGTATGTGTGAATGTAAGCATGAAAACAAGAGTTTATTTATTGACTCACTTGGTTTAGCAATCTGTGAATGGATTTTTTTACAAAAATATTTTTTTTTCTACCATATGCCCACAGGGACTTCATTGGATTTTTCGTTGGAAATTGTTTGGAAAAGGGAAGGTACTTGCTAAAAATACTCGGCAGGTGATTGTATGTACTGTGTATCACAGTGAACTTCAACCAAGCAGACCAATAAACCATAGAAAGTAGTCAAACTCTTAATGAAGTCAGTTAAGAGAAGGGAGAAAACCCTTCCGTGGAGAAAAGCTTTCAATACCATTCTTTGCTCTTCTTTCAATGAAGAAATACTCTCCACTTCTGATAGAACAAAAATATATATGATATCTGATTTAAATAATTATGACTCTCAGTGCAACTTTATATGCAACATTAACTTCATTTATACATTTTTAAGACCTGTCAAAATAATATTGCGAAGAGTTTAGGGACTAAAATTTAGATTATTGGATTTTAGACAGGTATCATATCAACAACCAAGTATTAGCATTTGGAGTGACGTTCAGGGCTGCTGATCAGTTTCTAAATGACTATGCCAGTGAGAAGAAATGATTATTCCAGCACAGCAACGCTGTAGGACCTTGGACTGTCCTTGTGAAGAAAGAATGTGTGTATGTAAGAGAGAAGAGGAAGAATTTGACTCCTGTGAGTAAATACAGTAAATAATCAATACTCATCTAAATGTAAATGAGACAATAGCCCTGTCCTGACTGTTTGTGTGTGAAGAAGTACACACATCTGTGTGTGTGAGTGGGTGGATGAGGTTACCATCTGGGTAGTTTGCCACAGACAATGGGCAACAACCTCATCACCATCTTTCATACACTGTATGGATCCTCTTCTAGAAATAGCAAACGGATAATAAAGCATAGCTAGACTTACCTTCAGATAATAAAATACAGATGTAGAGAGTATTTTGACGGTACTGCAACTTCACCTTTATATTTCCCTAATCTCTGAGAACAGATAAGGGACAAAGATTTTGGCATCGGAAGTAGAGCTGTTCTGGATTCTCATACTGTCTAGAATGTGGTATTGGCAAGTACAATGTCTGTGTGCACCAATCCAATAACATTGAATTGATAAGTCGTGGTTTTCTTTTTGTCATACAAGTTGCATTGACCAATCACATTTAAGCGGGCTTTGGTTGCACAAAAAAACAAAACAGTGAGGTAAGTATACTGTGGTGAATCTGCATTATCAGGACAATCATCAATATCCTCACGAGTGACTTGAAGCTGTCTAGCTCGCTAGCATACAGCCCTATATTGATTTCCTGATTCATTTTTAATTGCCACAAGGGGGAGCTAATTGCATGCCCCACAAAAAAATGTAAAAGTGACAAGAAGATGAGGTTCCTATCTGTGATGCAAGAAAAATATTTTTTTCTTAACTACATGTAAGGTAAGGAGAAAGTGTTTTAGTTCCATTTTAAGATTTTATAAGCATATTTTGATAATTACCAAGATAATCGTGACATGAATTTTGATACTGTCCCATTCCTATTCCATGGTTGCATTAAAAGGGAGAGAGCGATAAAAGTGTAATTACCTGAGCCTTTCTGTGAGCCTTTCCTCTTCTTGAGTGCTTTCTGGAGAATTTCCTTCATGGTTACCTTCAGACTGTCCACGGGGATTAGAGAGAAACCATGAGCAGCATTTCTAAAATGGAAAGAAAAGCAGGAAAGGTTAAGGATGCCTCTGAAGGTGTATCTCAATCATCCAGGCAGATGAAATGTGGTAAACAGCACTCCACCTGGACCTAGAACAGGACAACTGAAGACACCTGGCTGTTCATCTTAATGTCTTCTTCACTTCGGATTGAACAGAAATGTGGGCCTCTAGTTACACAGCAAAAAAAACCTTGCAGTAATGGAATCTCCCTTTTGTGTAGGCACACACCGACAAGCTGAGAGTGTGATCCTGATGTGTGTTATGTTGTGTGTGTATGAATATTGAATTGAATCTACTCTGTTCAGCTTTGACGACTGCAAAGGTCTTTCCTGTTATCAAGACAGACTTCAATTCAATTCAATTCAATTCAAAGGGGCTTTACTGGCATGGGACTGACTGTCACTATAATATTAAACTGATATCATATGAAAGATATATAAAGACACTGTTGAGTAGCTTCAATACAACACGTTACAATGAAATGTAGTTGTATAATATTTGCTAAGAATTCAGCAAATGCACCTCAAAGTATGAAACTGGGAAATGGCTGCCACACATATGACACCGTTTGTTTTAAAACGTTGCATCCTTATTAGACAAAATATAATTAATTTCACCCTTTTGGTGATTACCCCCAAAATAAAATGCATGAAAACAGAACAGATCATTACAACTACAGCACAATTTCTTTTAATTTATTCATTATTTCTTACTTACATTCTGACAAACAGTGACTGTCTGGAAGCGAGGCCAGGAGAGGAGTATTTCTCCACCAAGGCCAGAGTGCTGAAACCAAACTTATGGATGGGCTCATTGGAGTCCAGTGGAGGGAAGTCGGTGTCCACCTCGCCATCATCTTCAGCTATGTGGAGGCAGTAGGCGTTCACATTCTCACTGTGGAGAGAAGAGTGCTGGGAGAGTCAGAAGAGTTTGAGACACAGAAACATTTTATGAAAGTGGCATTGAAATGTGTTTGTGCTCACTTGAGTTTGGGTTCTCGGCCCTCACTGGTGTACTGCCAACAGATGAGCCCGATGAGGTCATGGACGCGGGCGTTGGCGATGGTCACCACTGTCATTGGATGTACTTTCTCCTGAGCCATCTGCATTGAGAGGTAGACATCTATCTTCTTTGTAGCTGTTGTGCCAATGTGGCCCTAAGAGGTGAAGAGACAGTGAGTACATCAGGCATAGAAAAACCATGGATACAGAGAGTAAAGAGGGTAAAAGGTTACAGTATAAGCTTACTAATTGAATCAGTTCACAGCTGACACTAGAATAGCCTGAGACTCCCCCACAAACACTGGAGAGTTAGCTTCTCTGAGCTGCTAGCTTTACTAATTTACAACACAGGTACCACACAGAAACCTTTACCAACAGCCTTGAATGTGCTTCTAGTGACTGTAAAAACTGTAAGAGGACACAGAGAGTTTGACAGCAGCTGCTCATGGCTGGTTAGCTTTGTTAGCTCTGACTACCAGCAGCTGTATTCCTGCTATACTGAGCGGTTTTTAGTCGATCACTCTGGTCAATGTTACCTTCCCACTAGCAAAATGGCTAGCTCTGGCTGTGAAATGCAGTGAAACAACAATTACACCAAAATTATAAAGAGTGAAACGTGGAATAACTCACCTTGCCATCAAATTTGGAGTATTCATTGAATGGGTTGTTTAGCTGCTGGGGACACTGCTCCAACCGCAGTGAAAGGGTGGATTTGGTACCTGTTGTCCGTGGCCTGTCTTTAAAGTCCCATTTTTCAAATAGGGATCCCAGATCCTCCACTGAACAGAAAGCATAAACAACATGCAGCAAACACTTCAAGTACAGTTAACATAGTAACTAATTTCTTCTTATTGCAGGAACATATCTAGATAAATGTAAGGGTATCATGCCTGGATGGAAAAACTGTTACCAAAACTAGCAAAGATTTCTTTAGTCTTTACACATAGACATGTAAGCAAAGACAGAAGGACAGAGACAAAGGTGCACAACAACTACATTAATAGTAGTGACTGATGGTAATGATGTAACTAGGGGTAATATCGACAAATGAGGTAAAAAGATAAAATTTATTTATTTTTTCTAAAATTGCAATATATCGCCCTATTACAGTATTGCAATATATCACAATGGATTTGAATTGTAACCACTGTATCTTTTTATGTATCGTACCGCCCTGTAATTCATAAGTAAAAAGTAAATATTTGAAGAAAGTCTAAAAGCCATAAAAAAAAAATTGTAAAATTGTTTTGTTTCCTGCCTTTATTTGCTCCTATCCACGCATTAAAGAGATTTGTCTTGCTACCCCTTGGGGAGGTCCTGACCCCAGGTTGCGAATTGTGTTACTCATCCAGTGGTCTAACTGTGGTCTCAAGATGTTTAATTTAATATTTTAGAGCACTGGTTCTCAAACTGTGGTACACAAGCTGCCTCTAGTGGTATGCGGAAGAATCACTGAAATACTCTGAAATGAAATTTAAAATAAGTTTTGCCTTTCCTGTAATATTTTGCTTCAATATTAGCCTGCTATGTAGTCATGTTTCTGAACGTAGCACACACATACATCCATCATTAGTTAGGGGCTAAAATGTGATGCAAGATAGTAAGTGGAGGTAAAACGAATGGTTCAAAAACACTGCAATCGTGGCTCCAAACAGGAACTACTGGGAAGAGAAGTGTGAACAAGAAGGACCCCTTTTCTACCAAATTAGCTCTGGTTCTTGAACTGGATTCAACAACAGTCAACAATAAATAATCTTAAACCTAGCCTACGCTTCTGTATATTAACGCCTAATATTTTTGGGGGTGGTACCCGGTGTAAAAGGTTTTAGGAACACTGTTTTAGTAAACTTACGACCACTGACTAAGTGATATCTTTTATGGATATTTCATATTATTTTCAATGCGTAACAATAAGAGTACAGAACAACTGATTAACTGTACAATGAACCCAAACAGTGTGTAAAACGAATGATTTGGATGAATTTTGAGCAGATTATTACCTGTGAATATTTAACATTTTAGAAAAATGTTATACAATTATCTGTCAGTATTATGTATTTTTACCATTTTTAACAATCGTACATACTTAGTAGGAGTATTAACAATATATGTGTTTTCTTCTCCCTTATGCTTGGACATTGTTAGCTCTATGTTCAGGTCTTTAAAGTTTGGACCTCTTTAAACTATTTTCTTTACAGAAATTAACAAAATGCTGAGATATATGCCTATTGTGTATATTTTATAAAATAATTGCATAAAATAATTCTTACACTCAGTATGTCATAAAAATGAATTTGAAGGCCCAGATTCCTCAGCAGCTTTTTTATTCTGAATAAAGTTCAAACAATCCACCACACACAGAAACACGAAGTAAACAGAATAGTTAAACATAGGGTTTTGCTACAAAATTAGCAACAAGTGCAGATGTGTTATGGTAGTACTTTAATATGTTTTTTTTAAATGCTAAGAAACACTACCTGATTGGGAGGATGATCTCTCTTTCCACTGAATGTTTTTACACTTGATTTGGTTCTGCCGCTCTTTCCTTAACCTTTCAAGTCTTTGGGCTGAAAAGAAAGAAAGATTATGGAAAAAAGCTGCTAGAAGCCTGGTGAAACAGAAAAGTCATCATTACATAAAGCACACCATGGAAATACAGTACACTGTTCACTTTGGTTCAAAATCATACCTTTCATTGGGCCTATTAGGGCAATGTGAGAATAAAAGGACATTTGTCTTCAGGCGGACACACTGACTCTCTGTTATGTGATATTTTGACTGACATGACCCACCTCATAAAGACAGTGACACACACAAATATGTACAACACACTCATCAAGAAGAGCTAATATCAAATAAAACTGTTTAAAAGTTCTGTGACTGTCCCTCTTATCTTACCAGCAGCCCCAGGTTTCTCGCGACTGTCTTGTTGTCCTGATGAGACATCCACCACAGGTCAGTACTCAATCTCAAAGTCTGAAAGTCTCAGAGGATCCCAGAACCCAGAACCAACAACCAGCACTCCACCAAACTTTGTACCAAAGTCAAGGGAGCCAAAAGGAGACGTGTTGTCTACCTTTGGACTCCCTCTAGAACCAAAACCACATTAACCTTCCAAATAAAACACCTGAATGTGGTTTCAAATAGATTTACACTCCTTTCATTTGATTCAAACTCACAATGTGCAATTTTTACAACACGCCATATTACACACCCACATCCCAACTTAAACACACTACACTCATTTGATGATCTGATGTTGATTAGGACACCAAACCTTGAGATTTAAAGGCAAGAACATCAGGTGACTGTGTCTGAAGTCTTCTTTCATTGAAAATTAAACCAATGCTTGTTGCTTGTACAAAAAAATTCCCTTATACATGTGTCAGGCACTGCGTATTTTCTCGGTAAAGAAATAATAACCAAAATAACTGTATTTGCTATCTTTCACACAAAATGTGTTACATCTCTGTACTGGAGAAAAGTCACTTACTGACTTCTGTGTAAGCTGCACCTCTTCCTCTGCTGTGGAATAGTCTGTCTGTGCAATTGCGAGTGTTGCCACAGTGACATCAAAAACAGTAAAACTCAAAATAAAAGTAAGAAAACCGAACATCAGGGGATAACCACTTCAGGGTTCCCACTCTTTTTAAGAAATTGCTTTCCAGGACATTTTCCAGGAGTTTTTCTTGACAATCCAGCACTAGTTTACAAATGGTGGCCATAATTTATGGGACACACCGCGTTAGCTCGCTTTTGTGGCATGTTTGGCTGTACTACTGCCGATTTTTCCACTTTCCAAATGGACCGTTTTCACAGCAGCCATTTTGATATGAAATAGTAGGGTAAACACAGACATGAGAAGAAGGGGCCCCAGTGATAAAACATTACAGATGCATGATGTTTCACACTGCCAGATATGGTGTTTTTTGTAGTTTGTTATAATTATTATTTATTGTTATAAAAACAAAAAAGGTGATAAAACTTGGTCCGACACAAATCAGAGGTATTACCCTTTAGGCCGTATCGTCCAGCCTTACCACTAATAAAGAAAACTATTTGTGTAGAGGCAAGTAAAAAATTGACTTTGGGCAAATAGATTTCTGACCAACTTGAGATCTCGCAACTGCTTTGGTGAATACAAAGTTGTCACATCTGATAACAGATAACATAACTATTGGAGTAACCAAAATAAATCCCAATTCACAATAATTAGTGGTTTTACTTTACTTATTGTAATCTTGCGAACCTGGAGGGACTGGTTGATGTAGATACACTTTGCAAGGAGTATGCACTGGATCATAGAGCAAAGGCCACTGGTGGCCTTGTGGTGTATGGCACATGCCCTGTTATTGCAACGTCCTGGTTGGGTTACAGCTGGGGAATTTTCTTGCATATCGTTCCCACGTTTCCTGTCTCTACTGCCAAACTATCAAATAAAGGCATATAACCCCAAAATTATCAGTCCTCTTCCATAGCCGCTGACCTAAGTTGCACTTGATGGCATGATAAAAACAATCTACAGAGTATACTGGCACACAAAAGAAGCATTAATCATTGTTAAAGTCATCTGTGCTACTAACCTCATAGCTATTAATAAAATTCACACAGTCGACTGCAATCTAACCCCATGCTTTCCACTTGTGCTGCAACAACATTCAGAAGCACACAATTTGACTTTAGCCTCACTAAAGCATTGGTCCAGATTAGACACACAGACCCCCTCCAAACAACAGCAGAACAGGCTTTCTGTTGTGTGCCTGACCGAAAGCCTGCCCTGCTAACCAGACAGAGCCTGGAGTCGAGCCTACCTGTGTTTGAGCGTCGACGGATGCCAAAGTCCCAGCTAGAAGTGATGTCCATGGACTGGGAGAGGTCGCAGGCATGATTGTCTGTCACACTGCTGCCCCCCTCGCTCAGGGAGCCTGACCCCGTTGACCCACAGCTGCTGCCGGGCACCAGAGCCAGCTGGCACTTCTCCAGATCCACATCCTGGTCTATTAGTACCATCTCACACATTCCTGTATCATCGCTGGTCACATGAGACTGTCTGATGTGAGCCAGGATAATAGCTGGATTGTCCAAGAAAGCCATTTCGTCTGCTTTATTAAGTGTGGCTTATAGCTTTGGATGTTTTTTCTTTGTCTTACTCTCCTCCCTGAATGCCAGATGATCCCTTTCAGTCTCTCTCTGAGAGTGTTAAAGTGGCTGATGACAAGTGGAGAGCAGTAATCTTCTCCATCTCCTTTTCTTGCTTATTCTCTCTGCCCCAAGGCAGGAAGGTGCCAGTACCTGTTTAAATTGAGAGAGCAGTTATAACATGGCGCAGGCAGGAAGTAGCGAATTACATTTGGGAGTTAGAGCCAAATCTGTTCAAATAAATACATCATTTCATGATTATGAATGGTTCTGAATGGCTCAGTTACTTTGGTCTGGCATGCTCCTAACAAGTGTTAACATCACTGTGGGGGTGGGCGTGGTTT